TACAGGAGGGCAGCGGGAGATTCATCCCCAGCTAATATGGTGTCGACCCCACATGTTAAAAGAAGGGGGCACACCTCCAAAATTGCCTGAAGGTGTCTAAAATAAATTAAAATAATTTAAGAAAATGTTTTATATAAAATAAATAAATAAATAAATAAATAAATAAAAAACAAACAACCACAGTCATACTAACCTAAGAATAAATATGGGCGGGTAAACACATTAATCTCCCAAGAAATTTATATAAACCAATGATAAAAAGATAAAACAAAGGGGTTAATAAATGTACAAACCATGCAATAAATATATAAAAACATGTAAAAAAAGTGCCATAAAACATAAGTGCTTAAAAATAAATTAGTATTCACACCAAAGGGAGAGAAAAACAAAGGGAAAAATATTTTTTTTCTTTCTTGTGTTTGCCCGCCCATGCCCTAATTTCCGCAGTCATACAATAACAATCATACCTGATAAAAGAGACACACAAAAAAACATATATAAAAAGAACCAGACCTTATTTAAATATACACCTCCATATACTCAAACATATATATAAAATTGAAAGATTTAAAATGTTGAGTAAAACTAGTTGGAGGCATGCCCCCCTTGCCTTCCGTTAAAAAAGAACATCTAAAATCACAGCAGGCGCCCCCGTTTCCAGGTTCTGCAAAAAGAAATAACTAGCCCCTATCTATGTTGTAAAATTAGGTAAAAAATATAGTAATAAAATTCATAAAAACATGCAAAATATTATCAATGTTCCCACATAAAATTCATAGGTGGTGTCATTGATAAAATCCTCAAACAATAAAACCATAATTAATATATATATATACACAACCTATCAAGGATAAAACAGAAGTAAAATTAGTAAAAAAAACCTCACACATTAGTAAATATTATTAAATAAAATTTAATAGAAAAATAAAACAGACATAAGAGAGGGGCATATAAAATTCACAGGAGTACTGGTCGAGGTGTAAAAAAGAGGGCGCCAAACTGCAGGCAGTTATGCTCTCTGGGGGAGGCACCATAAACTGTATTGCCGTTAAATAAAATGGGGTTAAAAAAGTGGATTTTAATATTTTTCATTTAGTCCGTTAGGATCTATTGTTTTCAGTTTATGTATCCACTTTCTCTCCAGCTGCCCGTCGTGTATCGTCGTCAAAAATGTCACTCATCCAGCCAAGCTTTGCAGGTTATGTGGGGCCATTTGTATGAATATATGTAAATATAAATGCTCGTACGTTTCCACCTATTCATTTCTTATAAACCTGTGTTGTTTAATGGTATGTTGATTTCATTACCCGTCTCCCCAACGTATAAAATATGGCAAGCCTTGCATCTAACAGCATAAACTGCGTTCCTAGTTTGTGGTGTTAAGGCCTGCCATAGGTTCACTCCATTATGTGAGCGGTTGTTAAAAAGATGGGGGAGACGGATAAATCCAATGTCCAACTCTCGAAGCGCCTCCCTAGTTCTGTTTGTGTTGTTATTAAAAGCCGTGTGTATCAAAATGTCTTTTAAGTTTTTGTTACGGCGGTAGGCGGAGATCATACGGCACCCCTGCAGCGCGTCACAGCCCTCCCTCGCCCTCTC